CCCCCACAGTCTGTGAGCCTGGATAGCGCCACAAGATGTTTGCATTTCTAACCAGGTGCCAGGTGATGCTGATACTTCTGGCCTGGGTACCCCACTCAGAAATTCTGAGGTTGATGATTGGGGCAGGGATGGGGGTGAGCCCTGACTCATGCTGACATGACACTGAGAAATCACTGTGAACTGGGCAGCCATGCCCATTTGTCAGCTACCCATTTACTTTTTAATGCACCATTAAATCCCCCTTAAAAAGCAAGATATAGCTGAATTCACTGACCGGTTTGGCTCAGTGAATAGAGCGTCGGCCTGTGGACTCAAGGGTTCCAGGTTCGAGTGTGGTCGGGGGCGTGTGCTTTGGTTGTGGGCACATCCCCAGTGGGGAGTGTGCAGGAGGCGGCTGATCAATGTTTCTCTCTCATCGATGTTTCTAGCTCTCTATCCCTCTCCCTTCCTCTCTGTAGAAAAATAAATAAATTCTATATTTTTTTAAAAAGCAAGATATATTATTTCATCCATTCAATAACAACTGAGCCTCCTGGGCACTATTCTAGGTCCCGGAGATCCATCAGTGAACAGAGCAGATAAGGTCCCAGCGCTTGTGTAATTTGGCAAAAATAATAAATGTCATAAGTAGGTCATGTAATGTGTTAAAAGGTGGTATATGCTACATGCATCAGGGAGATTGGGGGAAGATGATGTCAGGCAGAGGGAACCGCCTGTGCAAAGGTCCTGAGGTGGGTGCATGTCTAATGTGTTTGAGAAACAGCAGGGAGGCCGTGAGGTCTGAGCAGCATGAGCAAGAGGGAGAGTAATTGAGGGAGAGGACAGAGGGCTGACTGGGGCAGAGTGGGGACTTGCAGGTTGTGTGAAGGCCTTTTGCTTTTCTCAGAGGGGGAAGGAGTGGTGTTGTCTGGCTTGGTTTTAACAGGGTCCCTCTGGCACACACTGTGAGGGGCAAGAGTGGAAGCCAGGAGACCAGGAGGAGGCTACTACATCATCTGGGCAGAGCTGGCCCGGCCAGCGGGGAGCAGTGGGATCGGGTGGGGTGATAACAGGTTATACACACCAACGGACACACATTCTGGTTGTCTGTGTCCCTAACTAAACTGGCCCTCCCAATCTCATTCCCTACTCCTCTCCTTTCTGTAGATGACTCAAATTCTCGACCTGAACTCTTCTCTGTATCAGACCTGACCCATCTTTGATTTCCAACCTCCCCTTGTCCTGGTGACTACTTCATCTTCAAACTTAAAACACCTGAAATGCCTGCCCTCTCCTATCTGCCAGCTGTGGGGCTCACCTTTGCTCTTCCTGGCTTCTGTCCACGGCCCGGTTCTTCCCCACCTGCCAGCAGAAAGCCCAGGGACATGTTTAGGGTCTCATCTCCTTGCTCGTCATGACCATCCTTCACACAAGATCCGCAAGTGTGGTCAGGCCCTGCGGATTCTCTCCTCCGTTTCTTCCTTCCCACTCTCTCAGTGTCTCCTCCAGGCCCTGGCACCTTACCCCTGAACACTGTAGTGACTTTGGTCAGTGTGGCCTGGTGGCCAAGAGCTGGCGCTCTGGGTTTGAATACTGATTTTGCCAACTTCGAACTGTTGTACACTTGGGCTACTTCCTGCCTTTCTCGGTACCTCAGTGTCTCTGCCTATGAAATGGGCATATTTATACTTACTTTAAAGGGTTATAGTGGGGTCAAGTGAGACACTGCATAGAAGATGCTTGGAACAGAGCCTGATATGTGGTTAGAGCTCAATAAATGTTAGTTCTTTATTATTTATGCAATAAGTTCCTATTATGTGTAGAGACTGCCATTATACTGGAGATAACCTGACCTAGGCCCCAACCTAGCAATTTTACTTCTGAATATATGCCCAGCAGGAATGTTTACCAATGTACTAGAATGTTCACAACGCCCTATTCACAACAGTCCCAAACTGGAAACTACCCAAATGCCCATGGAAAGGAGAGTGAATAAAGAAAATGTGGTCCGTTCACACAAAAGAATATTGTGGCTTGCAGCAAAGTGGATACAACTTACAACACTGCGGCTGCAATATACAAATATAATGGGAATGGCGAGCTGGGTACCTCTGGCTGTGAGTTTCAGTGCGGGTAGCCTGCTTTTCCCCTGGGGACCTCTGCCCCTCAGCACCTCCTCCTCCTCCTCTCCACAAACAAGAAGATTCTCGGCCCTTGCTTTCACATCTCTCTCTGACTTGGCAAGAGCCATGGAGGGAGCCATGGAGGTGGGATGATGACAGCTTATATTTAAGGCAAACATAGAGGAATTGCCTAATATGTACAAACCCCTATGTGGTGGGCACTCCTTCACCACTCTATGACTTACGCCCATTTTACAGATGAAAAACTGAAAGCACCAAGAAGTCAAGTCAAGATAATAATAGCGAAGATTTTTATTTAAATCACATAATATTCTATGCCCTGGCCGGTGTGGCTCAGTTGGTTGAGCATCATCCCGTGCACCAAAAGGGGGCTAGTTTAATTCCAGGTCAGGACACAAGCCCAGAATGTGGGTTTGATCCCCAGTTGGAGGAGGTGGTGTCCAAGCGGGCGGATCATTTGTTACCTTGTGGGCTGGACTCACCTCTGCTCTCAAGCCCTCCTTGCCCTCCTCTGCTCTGCGTTATGTCTCTTGTGTTTCGGGCTCTGCATTCTCAGATTCCCTCCCCTGCCACCTTCCAGTGGATTTGACCAATGGGAGGCCCCACTGGAAACTGGGGGGGCAGAAGGGAGCAGAAGCCAGGTCTACCCCCATCTCCGCCTGCTTTCTGTAAGGTCTACATGGTTGCATCTCCTCAGAGGCTCCTGCTCCAGGCAGACAGCCCTGCTGTGGTTCCATCTCCCGCGGGCTGGTCCTGGCCTCTGGACTCCGCCCTCCCTCAGCCCCTCAGCCCCTCCACCCCAGAGCTGGTACTGAGCAGAAGAAGCCGTTCATTAAAGGTACCTACTGTGCAATTCTATTTACGTGAAGTTCAAGAACAGGCAGCACTAGTCTGTGGTGACAGAAGCCAATCAGCCCTCAGGAAGCGGAGGGGTGAGTGGGAAGGGGCGGGAGGAAACTGAGGCCGTGGGAATGTTTTATGCCTTGATTGCGGTGTGTGTTACATAGGTGTGTGCGTTATGAAGACTCGTTCAGTCCTACACTTAAGACCTGTGTGTCTGACTGTGTGTTTTCTAATTTCCTCGTTGAATCCCGAGGAAAACACAGTTTCTATTTTCGAACAGACTCAGTAGATCACAGAGGAGGATGTAAACTTATAGGTAAGGTATTTTACACAATTACACACGAGACTTCGAACAGAACTTCACACGTGGGCTGGTTTATTTCAGACCATGTTCCCCAGTCCCCGGAGGACACGCTCCCCTGCTTTGCTTGAATCCAAAATATTGCGAAGCGCGGGTCTCTGCGGAGTGCCTAGCTCAGCGCCGGCACGCAGGCGCGCAGTGAAGGTGCTGCTCACGATGCAAGCTGAGTGTGACGGACCTTCCTAAGACATGATTTCGTCTTGCGATTTTCACAAAGCATTCGGCCCCTGAATTCTGCCCGGGATGGGAAGGTTTCTCAGACAGCGCCCCACACCCAGCTTCCTGCACAGGCGCAGGCACAGGGAGGTGTCTGCATCACCACAGGAGAGGATGCAGGAGATTCAGATCTGTGCCCTCTTCCCACACCCCAGGAAAATGGCCAGTGCAGCCCAGCACCTGCCTGAGCCTGATGGTTAAGCAGAGATGGCCGCCCCATCTCCTGACAAGCTAGCCCCGTGCACCTTGGATAAAGACTGTGTGCAGGCTGGGAATGGAGCAGAAGACCCTAGAAACTGGTCCTCCCCCCGCCCCCGCCCCCCAAACCAGGGCTGGGAGTTAGAGGGGACAGGACGAAGGCATGCATCCCCGGTCTATCTCAGGGTCCAGGGGACCCAGGCTGCTGTGACATTCTTGTCCTCCAGGGCCCAGAGGGAGCACCGGAGCTGGATGGCTGCCCGCTGGGCCGGCTCTAAAAGGCACTGAGGAGGGGGTTGTGGCCCCTGGCAGGTGGGCAGGGCCCAAGCAGGCACAGGCGGCGCTGGGTCTCCAGTCTACAGAAGCGGTTCTGGTTGGACACGCGAGTGGTCACGCCGAGCCCGCAGGTGGTTGAGCAGGGGCCCCAGGCTGTGCTCCATTCTGGGCAGGGCGCCCCAGGAGGCGGGAGAGCGACAAGGCCAGCAGCCGGGGGTCCTGGGGGGAAGAAAGAAGGGTTGGCACCGGGTCAGGACTTGGCAGCAAATCCACCCTCTGGGCTGCGGTGCGATCTTGGTCACAGTTGCTTCTCCCCTCTGGACCTCAGTTCCTTCCTGTGTCAATTTCCTAGTCTTTTTAGTATGGAGTGGAGCAGGTGAAGTACTCAGCATAGTGCCCGGTGCTCGCCACACTGTGTAGATTCTCTGATCTTTGTTAGGACTGAATACAATTTGTTACCTTGAGGGCTGGACTCACCCCTGCTCTCAAGCCCTCCCTGCCCTCCTCTGCTCTGATGTGGGCTGGACTCACCTCTGCTCTCAAGCCCTCCTTGCCCTCCTCTGCTCTGCGTTATGTCTCTTGTGTTTCGGGCTCTGCATTCTCAGATTCCCTCCCCTGCCACCTTCCAGTGGATTTGACCAATGGGAGGCCCCACTGGAAACTGGGGGGGCAGAAGGGAGCAGAAGCCAGGTCTACCCCCATCTCCGCCTGCTTTCTGTAAGGTCTACATGGTTGCATCTCCTCAGAGGCTCCTGCTCCAGGCAGACAGCCCTGCTGTGGTTCCATCTCCCGCGGGCTGGTCCTGGCCTCTGGACTCCGCCCTCCCTCAGCCCCTCGGCCCCTCCACCCCAGAGCTGGTACTGAGCAGAAGAAGCCGTTCATTAAAGGTACCTACTGTGCAATTCTATTTACGTGAAGTTCAAGAACAGGCAGCACTAGTCTGTGGTGACAGGAGTCAGTGAGCCCTCAGGAAGTGAGTACTCAGCATAGTGCCCGGTCCTTGTAAACCCCGCATACATGATGGTTATTAGGTTACTCTGCTGGTGCTGGCATGGCCCTCCCCCAGCAACCAGTGGGCTTCTCCTTTTACAGGAGGTTGCAGCCCGTGTGACGCAACAGCGATGCTCGTGACCCCAAGGCCGCGCCTGGAACACCATGGCGGGTTCACCAGGGTCTGGGCTCCCTCCTCCCGTTTTATTCTTCTCTGCTAGTCTCTTGTTGTCCTTCCTTCTGGCCCTTTCTACAAGTGGTCCTTATCCGGGGGCGACACTGTCCTCCAGGGGTCACCTGGTGATGTCTGGAGACGTTTTTTGTTGTCACAATTGAGGGAGGTTGCCACAGGGGTGGACAGGGATGCTGCTAAACATCCTACAATGCACACGGCGGCCCCTCACTGAAGAATTCCTCGACCCGAATGTCAGCAGCACTAAGGCAGAGAAACCCTGTGGTATATGCACATGTGCGCAGCACGTATGATGTGTACATGTACATTTACTTGCAGACACACACATACGCATGCACATAATGGAGATAAATCGCACACATGGTGTCCTATCCTGCTTTTTACACAGAAGGTGAACTCATGGCGTTCTCCCATGGATTTAAACGGCTGGGTCACGTTCTGTAGGAATAACAGCTGCCACCAGTGGAGCGCTGTGTGCTGGGCGCGGTCCTAACTGCGTTACTTGTGTGAACTCCTCCAGTCCCTGCAACAGCTCTGTGAGGCGGACACTTATTTTACAGTTGAAGGACCCGAGTCACAGAGACGTTAAGCTACTTTCTCAGAGCCACACAGCGCGGGAGTGGCCTAACTGGCCTTAGCATCGGGCCGACTTCATGCTTAGCCACCGCGCTCTACTGCCTCCCAGGAGGCACCGCCATCTGTGGGGTCAGTGCTCTCTTTTCAGTTTCCTTTTTTTAAAAAAAAAATCACATCATAACAATTTTTACAAATCCCCAACATGTGAATAACAAAGTCTATAAAACCGTAGAATTTATGGCAGAAGGTAACTGTCTTTTCCCCGCCCCTGCCCACCCCTAGGCCCATGTCAACCACGTCGCTATGTTCAGTTTTGAGTTCCTCTGTTGATAAGCCCAATAGTATTACATTAGTGTTATCTAGTATAGGATATTTGTCATGTTATGTAAACATATTATTAATATGTACCAATTAGGTATAAAAGAATGTATATTATAATAGTGTACTCCGCTATGAAATGTGAGAATTTGGTTCAAGTATTCCCACCCTCCTTTCCCTTCTCCACTCTGCCACAATTTGGACTTATTTATTTATGACTTAAGATGACATGCCCACTGTTTGTTGTTTAGTGGGTTGTAAAGAGGTCTGTGCCTCTCTACTCCGCTTTCCTGTCTCCTCAGCCAGCGGCCTGCCCGCCTTCTGCCGCTAGAACCTTCTCTCTGGTGTGTGCAGGCGGCTGCCCCACCCCGCGGAGGTCCACCCTCCAGGCGCCCTGCCCCAGGGCCTGGAGAAAGGTACGCTTTTTTAGAATAAAAGCTCTTAACTATGGGCAAATACTAATGGACAGGGTCTCAGGAAAGTGTTGAAGATGCTATACAGGAAGGGAATGCTTACTAGTATATTAGTATATATTCCACAGTTACGTTCAGAAAAATTAACCTTAGATGAATATCTAGGGCTGGGCCGGCCACATCCTCCACGTGGCTCTGTCTGCAGAGCTGGCCCAGGTCCCCCTGGGGGGCTGTGCCCTGGAGGCATCTGAGCACTGCCCGGGGGGGCTCCAGCCAGCCACACCCGCCCCCCCTCCCGTGGCCAGCTGCCCTGGCACCTGCAGGAAGCCAGCGTGGCCGACCGCATCCTGCCACAGGGTTGGCCAGAAGACCTGCCTGGTCTGAGCCCCTTGATTAGCTATGGACCTTGGCCAAGTGATTTCACTTCTTCTTGCCTCAGTTTCTTCTCCTGAAAAATGGGTTACAACGGTACTTACAGGGGTGGGCAAACGTAGGTTTACAGTTGCAATATAAGCAATACAATAATTAATAAATAATGACACAAGAATAAACTCTGTTTCACATACAGTTATAAGCCTACTTGTGCCCCACCCTGTATCTCATGGGGTTGTGGTATAGACTAAACACCACGATATATGTAATGACTACAACCGAAAGGAGACGTCTGCTCTGTTGTAGTTATTAGTATAATTATGATAGATTAACAATGGGTAACTGGGATGTGCACACTGAGATTTCGTGCAGCAAACTTCCATTGTCCCTCTGCCTGTGCAGTCATACTGTCAGGTCAGGGCTTGCCTTGCTGGCTGTGTGACTTCAGGTGAGCTACTTCTCTGAGTCACCCTAACAGCAGCAATGATGAGAACAGCAACCTCCCCCTTCAGTTACATGAGATAATGGGTGCATAGCATCTAGCATAGGGCTAGGCATATAGTAGGTGCTCAGGAAACACTCTTCGAATGAAGCCCCCAAGACATGGGCACTAATACCACTTGCTCTGCTAGACATGAACTCCTTGAGGGCTGGGCCTGAGAGTGTTCATCCTGGCATTCCCTGTGCTGGCTCCCAGCATGAATGGCCCACTCCATGTCCTTTGAATGAAAGCCTGGCACAGAGCCCAGCATATAAGAGACACTGATAACATAGTTCTGACTCCTTATAATTCCTAAGACATGTATTGTGCCCTGTCTGTGTGCCAACCGCAGTGCTCCTAGACAGGACTAAGACACAGTCCTTGCCTGGGGAGACTTGGGGGCCAGGGTGGGAGACAGATGTGCAAGTCCTCATCTCCAAGATGCAATCAGTTCCCCTGGAGAGGTGCGTGGGAGCCGCTGAAGTGCAAAGAAAGGAGCCATCAGGAAGCTTCCTGGAGACGTGGTGGCAGTTCCGCTGGGTCTGGGAAGGGAAGCCCGTTTTCCCAGGTCTTCGGAGAAAAACCTCAAACAGTCCGTACACATGCAGGAATGTGGGAACCATATAGACTTGGGTTCAAGCCCCAGGTCCCCACTTGCAAGCTGAGGGCAGGTATTTCACCTCTGAGCTGTGGTGCCCGGGCCACTGGAGGATTGAATGAGCCAGCCACCTCAGAGCCTTTTGCCCCAAGCTCAGAACATAGCAGATGCTCAATAAGTGGGAGTAGGTGACGTTTCTTCCTCAGAGGGAACAGGACCTGTGTCAGTATTCCCTCCTTCCAGGCCACAGCCCTTTCGCTTCAATCCCAGCCTTTTGGCCTGGACCTTGTGGCCACTGGTTTCCTAAAAACTGCAGGGCAGTTATACCTCAATCCCTCTCCCCAGCCTGGCCAAGCCCCGTCTCCCACCCCCCCACCTCTCCCCACTCCCCCTCCCCCGGTGCCAAGGCCCCGGGCCTCTTGGTTGCTGAGATAAACTGGTAAACAGCGGGACTGTTTAGGAAAGTCAGCTAGAGGGGCGATAATTTTAGCAAGGTTTCCTGGCTCCTCTCCTGGGTCCTCCAGCTCAGAGCGGGCTGTGCGAGGATGGGGGGTTGCCGCCTGGGCAGCCACTCCCCAGCCCTGGTGCACTCAGGCATGGTCCCAACAGCATGAGGTACCTCCACACTTACTCAGTCGTGGGCCCCCCACCATCCATCCGTGCACCCTGACAGCTGCCCAAACCTCACCCCTCCTTCCGGACTCTCGCCAATGCCTCCCCCAAATAATTTTAGAGCACAGTTTTGTCATCTGGTGATTTCAGATTCCTTCCCTCTGAGAGTCCCCTACAGGAGAAGGAACAACACAGGTTCTTTGTTTTGTTTTAGTGTGTGTGTGTGTGTGTGTATGTGTGTGTGTGTGTGTGTGTAACCTTCATCTGCTTGCATGCTGTGTGACCTTAGGCAGTGATTTAACCTCTCTGAGCCCCAGTTCCTTCATCTGCAAAATAGGGATAATAATAGGACTTACTTCATTACTAAAGGCTAAAATTAAATCATGTGCATGAAGGGCTATCTCCCAGGGCATGCTTAATAAATGAATGGTGGCTGTGATTGCTAGCCCCACTAGAACTATTGTTACTATTCATTCATGAACTCATTCGTTCATTCATTCAACAATTGCTTATCGAGTGCCTACTACGCACCAGGCACTGTTCTGGGCACTTGTGATACAGCAATGACTAAAACAGGCAAAATCCAGCCCTCATTGGAGATTTTGCTCTAGTGGAAATAAATACAATAACAAGTATGTAGGATTTGTGATTAGTTCTGGAAAAGTAAAGGAGGGCAGAGTTAAGGAGGGGGGCAGGATTATAGTTTTTAAATGTGTCTGTTGATCAGGGAAGTCCTCACTTGAGAAGGTGATATTTGAGCAAAGATGTGAAGGAGGCAAAGAACCCAGTACCAAGGCCAGTGCAAAGGCCCTGAGGTGGGCACGTGCCTGGGGCATTTAAGGAGCAGCAAAGAGCCAGTGTGGCTGGAGCAGAGAGCAGGAGGGAGGGAGGGAGTTAGATAAGAGAGCCACAAGATCAGGTCACTAGAGGACTCTGCCTTTTATTCTGGGGAAATGAGAAGCTGTTGGAGACTTTCAGGCAGAGGAGGGGTGTGATCTGACTTATGTGTCACAAGGGGCCCTTGGGCTACTATGTTGAGAATAGACTGGGGCAGAAGCAGGGAGGCTTATGGAGCTACTGCCATCCAGACAAGTGGCAGTGGGGCTCAGCCAGGCTGGTAGCAGTGGAGGGACAGAGAGGGTCAGGTCCTGGAAATGTTGGAAATTTTGCTGGCGGATGTGGGATGTGGGATGTAAAGAATAGAGAGACTCCAAGGAGGCCTCCGAGCTTTTGAACCTGAGCCGGGGGAAGGATGGAGCTGCCCTCCACCGAGCTGCAGAAGCTGCACGTGTGGGGGGTGGGAAGCCAGGGGCTTGGTGTCCCCCCAGAGCCAGGACCTAGTTTAGCCCCTGTGACGTCTTAGCTGGCCCTGGCCCACCTGTGGGGTTCACCAGCTCCCGGCTCCCAGATTCAGTTCATATCATTAGACATTCATGAGCATCCACCATGTTGCCAGACTGGGACTGGGAGTTGCAGGAAGGAACAAGGACCAAATAAATCCTTGGCCTCCAGGTGTTTGAGTCTGATTCGAGATGGGATAAATAAAGAAAAAGGCCCCTGAATGAAGTTCTTGGCAATAGCAGCCACCAGGTACCAGGCATATGTCGGGTGTCAAGCAGTAGAGCAATGGACACTAAGATGTGGAGCCAGCTTCCTGGGTTCAAATCCCAGCTCAGCTACTTAGGAGCTGTGTGACTTTGGGCAAGTAGCTGCACCTCTCTGTGCCTTCTTTTTCCATCTGTAAAATAAGGATAGCATCTGTGCCTACATCACATGGTGTCGGGAGGTCGAATGAGGTGGGATTTGTGAAACCCCTAGTGGCTGGCACATACTAAGTGTTGTGCAATAAATAAACTCTGACAAGTGCCGTGGCTAATCTAAACATCAGCCTTATAAGCTATGTTGCTTGTCTCATTTCTTTCTTTAGGCACTTTTTAAGTTAGCAATCACCTATGAGTTTATCTACAAATAAACTTATTATTTTACGCCTCTAATCCAATGAAGTATTTAACAAGGATTTACTAAGGATAACTAACTTTCTGTCTCCAAGTTTTGTTGTTTTGAACAACAAAACCCTGTTTTAGCAGGGTTTTTCCTATAGAAGGACTCATGGGCGCCCCTCTCTCTTGTTCTTATTTGTATAGAAGTGTGACATGCACATAGATGAAAGAGATCAATTGCTCTACAAGGCTTATTAGAGCAAGGGGGTTGGGGGAGAATGAGGGAGGGAAGGGAGGAAGGGAGGGAGGGAGGGAGGGAGGGAGGGAGGGAGGGAGGGAGGGAGGGAGGGAGGGAGGGAGGGAGGGAGGGAGGGAGGGAGGGAGGGAGGGAGGGAGGGAGGGAGGGAGGGAGGGAGGGAGGGAGGGAGGGAGGGAGGGAGGGAGGGAGGGAGGGAGGGAGGGAGGGAGGGAGGGAGGGAGGGAGGGAGGGAGGGAGGGAGGGAGGGAGGGAGGGAGGGAGGGAGGGAGGGAGGGAGGGAGGGAGGGAGGGAGGGAGGGAGGGAGGGAGGGAGGGAGGGAGGGAGGGAGGGAGGGAGGGAGGGAGGGAGGGAGGGAGGGAGGGAGGGAGGGAGGGAGGGAGGGAGGGAGGGAGGGAGGGAGGGAGGGAGGGAGGGAGGGAGGGAGGGAGGGAGGGAGGGAGGGAGGGAGGGAGGGAGGGAGGGAGGGAGGGAGGGAGGGAGGGAGGGAGGGAGGGAGGGAGGGAGGGAGGGAGGGAGGGAGGGAGGGAGGGAGGGAGGGAGGGAGGGAGGGAGGGAGGGAGGGAGGGAGGGAGGGAGGGAGGGAGGGAGGGAGGGAGGGAGGGAGGGAGGGAGGGAAGGAGGAAGGGAGGAAGGGAGGAAGGGAGGAACAGTTCCTTGCTTCTTTCTATTTCTCTAAAGCAGCGAGTTCTCAGTTGGAGATGATTTTCTCCCCGGGGGACATTCAGCAATGTCTGGAGACAGATTGTCATAACTTGGGGATGAGGGTGCCACTGGCATGTAGTGGCAGAGACCTGGGACACTGCTAAATGCCCTACCAAGCACAGGACAAGCCCCGCAACAATAATCTGGTCCCAAATATCCCTAGTGTGGAGCTGAGAACCTCATCGAAAGCATCAGGGGCCCGAGGGCCAGAAGATTGTGGAAGATGGAGGATCTCAGGGTCACTGGCAAATGCAAACTATGGGCTCCCGATTCAGGAGGAAGAGAGACAGAATGTTGCTTCAGAGCCTGTTGGAACAGGTCCCAAGCTGTGCGATATTAAGCATGCCTGTTAATATCGATGAACCTCAGTTTCCTCATCTATAAAATGGGTCTGAAAGTACTACTTACCTCATAGGATTATTGTGATTTATGTAGTAAGTGCTTAGTAAAGTGCCTGACATATATTATGCCCTAAATAAGGGGTTGTTGCACTTTTATTTCCCCAAAAGTATTCTGAGGGTCCTGAGGAGGGGGTGATGACTTCTGGTTAGAAGAATACTGGAGGGCTTCTCAGAGGAGGAGGTTATGGCCATGATTTGGGCAGGTAGGAATGGAGGAAGGCTGTTCAGGTGTTGGCGTGGTCATAGTAAATCCAAGAGGAGAGAAGCAGGGAGTGGGCCTAGGGAACCTTGTGTAACCAGGTTTGGCTGAACTGGATGATGGATCTGAAGTGAAGGTAAAAGGTAGAGAGAGAAAGGCTTCCCTTTGACTGAGGACACCTTGGCCTTGGCCACCCCTCCCCTCCAACCACACCCTCCATCAGTCCCGCAAACCTGCTTACAGAGGCACACGGCCCCCTGGCCTCCAGGGCCCGCCCCGAGCTGGCACACCAGGCCCTGGCTGGAGTCACAGACGTGGAGGTGGTCGCAGGGTTCCCCGAGCCGCCGTGCACATACCCGGCAGCAGTTGCAGCCGTCCAGCACCAGGGGCACCCCCGGTGGGCATTGGGGCGGCGTCCAGGGGCAGGTACACGGCATTGGGCACAGCTGGGCACACACCTGCAGAGACAGAGACCCCACTCAGCCATGGTCATTCCAGGTGGCCAGTGAGACCTCACAACTGGCTACCTCTCTGCCAGGCTGGGCAGTGTGGGGGTCCACACGTTGGCCCCAGAATCACACAGACCTGCTCTTGAACCCTGGCACTCTCGTGGTACTCTTTGCCGTCATGAGCGTGGACTCTGGACTAGAGTTCTAGTCCCAACTCTGCCCCTTATTAGCTGAGTGACCTTGAGCAAGTTACTTAAGCTCTCTGAGCCTCAATATCCTCGTTTGTAAAAAAGGGGGAACAGCAGTATCTAACCCAGAAGCTGCTTTGGGGAGTACATGGAACGATGCATGTTAAACCCTTAGCACAGGCCTGGGGTGCAGCAGATGCTCCATGCATGTAGCTGTGATGCTCATCATTGTGAATTACAATAAAGGGCTCAGGCTCCGCCCCCTAGGATTACCGAAAGGCAGAAGCAGCAAAATGAAGGATTGAAACCACAGGTCCTATAACTTTACAGCAGGTGGACCTTAGATACTTATCTCGAGAGCTGAATAAATCCAACAGTCTCATGGAAGTTTTTCATCTTTAGAACAATTCAGATTATGTTCCCGGACAAGCATCGGATCACCTAGGAAACTTGGTAAAATACTGACCCCTAGGCCTCCTCTGGGACTTACCGAGTCAGAGCTTCCAGGGGCAGGGCCCTGGAGTCTGAGTTTTAACGGGGCGCTCAGGGGCTTCTGATGCACAGCCAGGTCCAACAGTCTCATGGAAGTTTTTCATCTTTAGAACAATTCAGATTATGTTCCCGGACAAGCATCGGATCACCTAGGAAACTTGGTAAAATACTGACCCCTAGGCCTCCTCTGGGACTTACCGAGTCAGAGCTTCCAGGGGCAGGGCCCTGGAGTCTGAGTTTTAACGGGGCGCTCAGGGGCTTCTGATGCACAGCCAGGTCCTTGGCACCTCTGC